GAAGACTCCCAGGCACAGCATCTCAAGTCCAGCTAAAATCAAGTGGCCATAAGGAGTCCCCGTAAATGAAAAGAGCAATACAAGCATTTACGATTTAGCACCTGGATTTCTGGATTTCAAGCAGCTTATCCACGGTCTTCCTCAGAAGGTCTCCACTGCTGGCTTCTCATGTGGGGCCCCTTGATCTCCAAGCCCGGGGCTCTTGGTCTTATTCTTCCAGCTGGAACTCTTGTTCTGTTCTGTGCTCTCTTCTCTGACCCTGTCATAGGCCAACAGGACCAGGGCCAGGGGCACACAAATGAGGCCCCTGTGACGCAACACTGAAGGAGGTGCTCACTCTCAGGGTTGTGCAAGTGCTGATCACTGGGTTATTTGCACGTGACTAGAAGTCAGAAAAAAAAAAAAAACGAAAACAACAAAAACAATTCCCAATATGAGGGAAAAACGTCTCCTGGCACCACAGTGCTCTTTGACTTCTGTTGTATTGTTTCTTAACTCCATCCCAGCCCTCCTGTTTGGAAAACCACCCTGCCCCTCCAGCAGCAGGACAGACTCCAAGACAGATTCCTGGTATCAGGAACGCTGGAAGCCTGGGATGGAGGTGGAAGAGGAAAGCAGGAGGAGGGTTGACAGCTTCCACCAGGGATAGGGGAGAAGGCCAGATACTGGAGAGGTTGGGGGGGTGGGGAAAAGAAGAGCGGACAGTGGGTCAGATAAGGGCAGCTAGTTATACAAGCCTGGTTAGGAGACGTTTTGGGATTTTTGCAGTGTATGTGTCGCATGCAGAGGGGTAAGTCATTCTTGAAGGATCCCGTGTGGGGATTGTGGCCACTTCCACGCTTTTTCAGGCTGCTCCTGTTATGTTGCCAGCCAGCTGCTTCCAGCTGGAAGTATTTGGATCTAGACACCTGAAGTCTACTCCAACACTAGAGTGCCAGGAATAAAAAGCAGAAAGCGTGAACGTGCAGTGGTCGCTATGCTCTATATTCAAACCTACACTGGATCCGGTCATTTAGGGAAAATTTGGTGGCCTTAGACAGTCTGGGTGGGCGGGCGAGCTGGCTCCAGATGGCAGCCCTGTGTGCCCTTAAATGAATGGGTGGGCCTGGGTGGGATTGTAGCCTTTGCCAAAACATCAGGGACTTGAGACCCAAAAATGCAAACAAGTCGGCAGGTAATGTGCAGCCTGAATAGGGGAAGGTCAAGGCCACGATATTGCGAAGTGTCCTGGGGAACTTGGAAAAAATGCCCAAAAGGGCCCCAGCGTGCGTGGCCAAGACTTGATGTCTTTCTTACGGAAATGTAGAGTTCTGCGTATTGTTCCTCGGTGAGGAATGCGGGTGTCTCTGAGCTGCTTTCTGAAAGATGGGCTGCTTAGCTGCTCTAAGGAGCCAACCCCTCTACACACCTTAAGGCTGGGTTAGGGAATCCAGCCTGCTTGACTTAAGGGTATTCCGATAGAGGAGGAAAATGCTTGTCCTTCTGTATGTTAAAGGAAGCACAAGGAAGCTGTCTCTGAATTTTATCAGCAGCTCAGAACTTCTGTTCTGGGGAAAGGAATAAGAGGGTCAGAACCCCCCCCCCGCCCCCGCCCTTGCCAGAGTGATGCTCTGAAGTTCCTTCCAGAGGCCCCGGGGAGGAAGAGGGTCACTATTCATCCCTCATCAGTCCTGAATGAGCAACGGCAGCTCTGGGCCTGGCCAAAGGCTGGCGGCAATCCAGGGTATAGGTGGCAGTTCCCCAATGCCTTCAGGAGCCAGACACTTCTGACTTTCTCCTCGGCCACCCTAGGCTTTTGTCCCCATGGTTGCGGGATGGTTGCTTTACAACCGGTTGTGTGTCTGCACTTTGGGCACAGAGAAAAGGAAGAGCAAAGGCAAAGGGCAAAGGCACATGCCAGCTACGCCTGCTCCTTATTATTGCTTTTTTAAAAAATTTATCTTTTTTAAAAAAAAATATTTCATTTATTTATTCATGATAGACATGGGGGGGGGGGCAGAGACACAGGCAGAGGGAGAAAGAAGCAGGCTCCATGCTGGGAGCCCGACGGGGGACTCGATCCCAGGACTCCAGGATCACGCCCTGGACCAAAGGCAGGCGCTAAACCACTGAGCCACCCAGGGATCCCCTCCTTATTATTACTCTCAAAAATGTTTCATTGTAATAAAATATACACAGGATAACACGTACCCATCTCTACCATGCCTGAGTGCACGGTTCCGTAGCATCACGTACATTCACTGTTGTGATGCAACCCATCCAGAACCCTTCCCATCTCGCAAAACAAACCCTATATCCACTTGGCAGCAACCCCCCCATCCCCTCCTCCTCCAGACCCTGGCAACCACGCCTCTCCTCTTTGTCTCTAGGAATTTGACTACTTCAGGGACCTTATGTAAGTGGAATCATACACTCCTTGTCTTTTTGTGACTGACTTAGTACACTTAGCACAGTGCCCTCAGGGTTCATCCACGTAGTAGCATGTGTCAGAATTTCCTTTCTTTTTTTTTCTTAGAATTTCCTTCCTTTTTAAGGCTGAATAAGGTTCCATTGTATGTATCACCACATTTTGTTTAGTCATTCATCTATCAATGGCCAACTGGGTTGTTTCTACTTTTTGGTTATTGTGAATTATGCTGCTATGGGCATGGGTGTACAAATATCTCTTTGAGACCTTGCTTTCAATCTTTCCGGTTTATACTCAGAAGTGGGACTGTTGGATCCCATTGTGATTCTATTTTTACCTTTTTGATGAACCACCATGCTGTCTTCCCTAGTATAAGTCTATTCTTTGAGCAACTTTTTCCTAAAGCCCCACCCAATGAGTTTCACTTCCATCTCATTGGCCACAATGGGTCATGTGGCCACTTCTAGCTGCAAGGAAGCCTGGGAAATGATGTATTTTTGACCAGGTATAGAAAAACACTCTGCACCCTGGAGATTCCTGAATACTGGGATGGTCAGTCTAGCTGTTTGTGTCAAGGCCAGGTGTCTGAGTCTCAGCTGAGCCTGTGCTGCAGACACTCTGTCTATTCCCTGCATTGGCTGCTAACCTTTTGGGGGTATCAGCACCCTCCCAAGCTGCTGCTTCCAGTAATGAGAGGCAATACTCACTTCCTTCCCTCCTAACCTGTTCTCTTGAGCAATTACAATAAAGTCTCCTTGCTGCTCCACACCAATACAAGCTGCCCTGTGCTATTCCTTCACTGTCCATCATGGCGGAGTCATACTTCTGCTGCCAGACATAAGTCCTCTGGGACAGGGCCTGTGTCACCATTGCAGGGCACAAGGCAGAGGATTGACACTTGGTGGAGGGAAGGAGAATGCATTCTTCTAGATTAGCTATATGCCACCTCCAGGTGCTGCAGGGCTGCAGGGCTCCTGGCTCTCTCAGCCTAGGGACGCCTCTTCCTTGGATGTTTCTCCTCAGGTTGTGGGGCCTAGTGGGGGCTACTCATCCTGAGACCTATGAGGTCAGGCCCAGGCTGGACAGGCCTTGATAGGGCAGGGGGAGCAATATGGCGTGGTGGGGAGGGTCATGACCTCAATGGGGAGGCTTATGAACTTGGAGGACTCTGGACTAGATGGCCAAGACTTGAACCCCTCTCTCTGCCCCCATCCCTAGAAGCAGTTACATAGACATAGCCAGTATCAAACTCATATTCAGAAACACATGTGCCCTTAGATTCAAATACAGAACTGTTCACAAACACGCATACCCGTGTACCACTGCCACAGAATTAAATTTAAATTAGAATTAAATTTGCATTCAGCACTTAAATTCAAGGGGGCAAATCCTGTTCCCCTACTTAATAGTTTGATCCTCTAGGACATTATTAAACTGTTTGTGTCTCAATTTTTTTACTTGTAAAAATGAGGATAATAAGAGCATTCCCCTCGCTGATTTGTGATTATAAATGAGATAAAATAGTAAAGAGCTTACAACAGTGCTTACAATGGCTTACAGAGGTGACAGGCATCCATTCCTATTTCCTGAGCCCCCTCCCCTTTCTCTGCTGCCACTTGGTGGTGGGCCTGGCAAAAGCACCAGCTCAGAGTCCTTTCTGCAGCCTCAGGTTTCTCATGTGTAAAATGAGGATATTATCTACGTTGTAAGGATCTAAAGAGGCCCAGCAGGGAGAGCTCCGAGTCTAGACCCTGGCTCACAGAAGCCTTACTGCACTTTAGCTGCTCCTGCCTGTAAGTGATGAGGAACAGGTCAGAGAGCAGGTGCAGGCATGGGATGACCCAAGGCCCGGGCCTGACCCCCATCTCCTCCCAGGCCGGAGCTGGGGCCTCTAAGGACAGAGCCGAGCCGGGGAGGGGAATCAGAGCTGCTCCCCGCTTGGAGCCTGGCCTGGGGCTGGGGGCAGGGCTGGCCCGAGGGTAGGAGGAAAAGAGGAAAACCAGCTCAGTGGAAATTACCCTGCGGTTGGCTCAGGCGCCCACGACACTGTATTTATAGAGAGCTCCTGCGGCTCTTAATTCCTCGCAGCCCGGTTAACCCTTTCCAGGCCGCGGGCCCAGCCCGGGGGCGGAGGGAGAACCCAGAACCGGGGTGGTCGGCGGGCAGTCACCTGTCCCTGTCCCCTCGCGCAGAAAATACACCCCGGACCCTAGGAGTGTGGGAACGGGGCGGGGGATGCGCCCCAGCAGAGCGCCCCCCGCCTAACCCCGGGGGCAGGGGCGGGGTCAGGGGCGGGGGATAGCCCCGAGCAGAGCGCCACCGCCCCGCCGGAGTCCGGGGTCTGCTCCGGGGTCTGCTCCGGGGTCGGGGGGGTGGAATGAGCAGAGCGGGGTGGGGGGATGAGCAGAGCGGGGGTGGGGGGATGAGCAGAGCGGGGGGGGGCCTCCAACCCCGGGGTCTGCTCCGGGGTCAGGGGCGGGGGATGGGCCCGAGCAGAGCGCCCCCCTCCCCCCCACCCTGGGGTCTGCTCCGGGGTCAGTGGGGGATGGGCCCGAGCAGAACGCCCCCTCTCCCCCCCGCCGGAGTCCGGGGTCTACTCCGGGGTCAGGGGTGGGGATGGGCTCGAGCAGAGCGGGGAGGGGGGCCCCCCCAACCCTGGGATCCGCTCCGGGGTCAGGGGTGGGGATGGGCCCGAGCCGAGCGCCCCCTCCCCCCACCCCGGGGTCTGCTCGGGGGTCAGGGGTGGGGATGGGCCCGAGCCGAGCGCCACCCCCCCCCCCCCGCCGGAGTCCGGGGCTGCTCCGCGGTAGCTCCGGGGTTGGGGCGGGGTCCGGGCGGGCTCAGGCCTCCGCCGGGGGCCGCGCCGCGGGGCCGATCCCGCCTCTGGGGCGCAGCCCGGCGGCCTTTCCGGGCCCGCGGCTTCCTCGGCCCGCCCCGCCCCTCGGCCTGGCGGGGCCGCCCCCGACCCCCACTCGGGCCCGGCCTGGCGGCGGCGGCCAGTCGCACCGCCGCGTCCGGGTGTCCCGCGCCCCCGGCGCCCCCGGTGCCCCGGCGCCCCGGTGCCCCCGGTGCCCCCGCGTGCCGAGAGCCGGGCGGTGAGTGCTTGCGTGGCGCGGGGCGGGGGCGGCCTTTGTCTGCGGCGAGCGGTGCGGGCCGGGGAGGCCGGGGAGGCCGGGGACACCGGGACACCGTGGGACCTGCCCCCGCCCCCGGGAGGCCCTGGCGGAGGCTGGGGGTGGTCGTGGACCCCCGGGCCGCGGGCGTGCAAGGGCCCGGGGGCGCTGTGTCCCTGGTTGGGGCCGCAGAGCTCCCCGGGGCAGCGGGTTGGCGGGGAAGCACCCTGAGCCCCACCCCGAGGAGGGTGAGCTGCCGGGAGGGGTGAGGAGCCCCCCCCCCCGCTCGGCCCCGAGGACGGAGTAGAGAACTTCCGCCGGCAGCAGTGGGCGCGGGGGTGGGGGGGGGATGGGGGGGTCCGGGGGTGAATAGGTGTTGGGGTGGGAGGGGGCGATTGGGCTCGGGAAGTCTCCGGGAGACGGTGGGGGAGGTGGGACGCTTCTATGGAGAGGATTTGGGGACTCAGTGGCAGGACGGTGGGGACCCCCTAGAGGGGAGGGTGTTGAATCTGTATCCCAAGGCCTTCAGATGCTGTTTGGGGGGGGGGGCATGGGGGAGTTGGCAGGTCTGGTGGCTGAAGGCAGCGAACTGCCAGAAAAGGGGCTTTATTTCTAAGCCAGACCTGCCCTAATGAGAAATGGGTGACAGATGACTCAGAGGCGGATGGATCTATCACTGAGGGGAAACGTTGGGCAAATAGTAAAGCAGAAAAGGACTGGGGGCAGGGGGGAAGAGTCTGTTTGACTTAATTGAGAAAAACAATTTACCTTCAAATTGGATGTGGATAATTATAAATGAGTCAATTTCATCATTAAATTAAGGCCCCAGGTCCTTTTCTTACACGCCTGTCTTTGGCAGTTAGCTTCTGTATTAGAAAGTAATGAAGCCCTCCTGTCTTTAAGAGAGTTCTTAAAAAAAAAAAAAAAAAGGAGTTCTTTATTTAGTCCAGGCTCTTCTCACTCTCTCTGGCCTCCTAGAAGTCCCTAGGAAATCTGATGCTGTGCAGCCTTCCTCCTAGTCTGGGGGCCTGCACGTGGGTGGGACACTTTTGGAGGCCCAGGGAAATTGAGGCCTAAACTTGAAAGGGAAGCTGAAACTTGTCTGATGGGTGGGGCGGATCTGAGAGGTGGGAGGGGTGCAGGGCTCTGGGGCTGTAGGGTGTGAGTGATGGCTCATATTTCCAGCTCATTTCGGAATGGGAATATTTTGGGTGAGTACGTCCCCATATCTAGAATCCCTGAGCTTCAGCACTAACACTTAGGCTTAACTATAGAGCGAGGAAACCTTCCTCTCCCATAGTAGTACATGCATCAGAGTCTGACATCAGGACGCTCCTGGAGCCAGAGAAATTTTTCTTCACAACTTCAGGTCAGTGCTGTGAATGTCAGATTTTGCACTAAGGGACTTTTGAGGGAGTGAGCTTGGCACTCAGTGGCTTCGGCCATGCTTTTATCGATCCCATGACTGCTGTTTGGAGTTCTTCCCTTTCTTCAATGACTTCACTGGTGGTTCCTCCCAATTGCCTTCAGTGAGCTTTCCAATTTACTCCAGACTTCTGTGCTGCAAGAAACTGGACCATTCAGTTGGGCCGAGGTGAGAAGAAGCCCGTGTTAATGCAAGCCGGAGGGTGGGAAGGGCTGCTGGGATTGGAGGACCTGTTTTTCCTTCATGTCCCTGGTCCTCTGCTGCTCTGACCTGGCACCCAATGGAAGTAGATGGGCTGAATGTCCGAGATGCTCAGATGCCTGACAGCTGGGTTGGGTGCTTGAACATTTGTGGAAAGGACATTTGTAGAAGCGTTGTCCCCTTCTGAAGAGGCTGTGTCCCTCCTCTGGTGAGGTTGACTTCTGAGTCTTCCTAGGGGAATTCCTTCATCCTTGAACCTGTGGTCCTTTCTGGAGCCATAGATAAATCTTCATTCTTTGGAGCAACACTTAGCCTTGACCGTGAGCTGAGCAATACTGCTTGGGGTCAGATTGGCAGGATGATCGCGGGGGTTTTAGTTGGGATTCCACAGCAACCAAGGACTCTAGTAGAAAGTGTTGTAGAGCAAGTCCCTGGCCTGCTGCTGGCTGGTTCATAGTTGGACATGTGAGGTTTGAGTGTGAAGAAAAATGATCCAAATCCAGCCTCCAAGATGATGACCACATGGGGCTTGATTCATGGGGTCAGGGGAGGAGGAGGAAGGGCAGGCAGGATGATGTCACTGCCCATGAGCTTATTCTCTGAGTGGGTGGCCACTTCTCACTGTGGTCCTCTTTCCACACCCCACGGCGGGAGTGCCAGGGAGGTCCACCAGCAGAAGGGGGAGGCATGGCCTGGGCCTGGGGCGAGGAGTAAGAGGGTGGGAACTGATTGATGTGATCCATGAGAAATTTCCTTTGGTCTCACATGCATCAAACATCTGGGACAGGGCCCCATGTCCTTTTATGCACCCTTTGGCTGCAGTTTTGCCTCCCTTGCAGTATGAGGTTCCAGCTAGGAACATTGAGTTTCCAGGTTTAGAGGTGGGGTTGTGTCAGATGCTTCATAGACATCATCTCATTTAATCATGTCAGTCCTCTGAAGCAGGGAGTGTCATTGGCTCCATAGTATCAGTGGGGAAGCCAGAGCCCAGAAAGGGGAAGTCACCTGCCCAGAGACACACAGCTGGCAAATGCTGGTGCTGGAATATTATCTGTCTCCAGGACAGGCTCTTTCTGCCCCTCGCAGAGGCAGGTATGGGCTTCCTCTTGTTCTGGAGTCTGGCAAGATGGGCTAACTGTCCCCACGGCGAGGCAGAGAGGACTCACCTGGAGAGCTGGAGGCAGGCCTGATGAAGGCCTCCCAGTCCAAGCCATCGCTGAAAGTACCTGCTTTTCCAGAGGCCTGGTCTTCAGCACACCTATGTCCTCGGAGTCGCCCCCTGCCCTCCAGTTCTGACCGGTGCTCCCACTCTGCCTCTCATTCTCTCTCTCCTTTTTTTTTGTTTAAAAAAAAATTAATTTACCCATTCATGGGAGACACAGAGACATAGGCAGAGGGAGAAGCAGGCTCCCTGAGGGGATGCGGGACCCAATCCCAGGACCCCAGGATCACAACCTGAACCAAAGGCAGATGCTCAACCACTGAGACACCCAGGTGCCCCTCTCTCTCATTCTCTTTGTGGTTCAGGGAATGGATGCCTCCTCCACACCTGGAATTCCTTTGGGCATTTGAATATGTCAGAGGGAAACCCGCTAGGAGTGGGAAATGAGAAGCATTTTTTTTTTCTTTTATTGGGAGCCCTGGAGTAGGAAAAAATAGTGCCTCTGAGAAGCAGAGCTCCCAGGCACCGGGGCTTCCCTGGGAAATACTGGAATGTGTGCTGGGGGTTGGGGGCAGCCCTTTACTGGGGGATGTGGGAGCAGCAGGGCCAGGAGGGGCTGGAGCCCACAATGCTTGGCACTGTGGTCTCACATCTCAAGAAGCAAGGGGGAGGTGACCACTAGGGATGGATGAGCCAGACGCAGAGATGGAACCCAATTATTTGAGTCTGCTGATTTGGAGCTGGGGTGCAGATGGGATTCTTGGTGGAAACGGGGTCACAAAAGGAGTAATGGTCTCAGATACCTGGATGCATAGCCCGACAGAGGAGCTCTTGGCTGGTGAGGGCGGGGACACTCAGTGCAGGGGGCCCAGGAGGCCTTGTCCCCATGACTACAGCAATAATATAATGGCAGGACTAATTGTTACCGCTGTTTGTGGGTGCTAGGTGCTTTCCCAAGTCCCTTCTGTACATGTTCTTATTTTGTTTTTGTTTATTTATTTATTTTATTTATTTATTTTTTATTTTTTACATGTTCTTATTTTGTTCTCCCAGTAGCCCTTGTGGTGTAGGGGTTGTTACTCCTGTTTTAGTGATGGAGGATCAAGTCTCAAAGAGGTCAAGCCGTTTATACTTGGTCCTGTGTCTAGCAAAACTTTTGAATCAGAATTTGAACACAGGGCAGCCTGCTCTTGAGCCCTGGCTGCACCCTGGGGCCCACAAGGCAGCCTGAGGATTCTACTTAACAACACAAAAGGCCCAAATGACCCAGATTTTTGGAAAAGGGAAGGTCAGTGGGAGGGCAGTTTAGGTCCCTGTTTTATCAATGACCAAACTGAGGGTCAGAAGATGTTTTCCCAAAGTCATGACCAGGAAATGGCCAAGTCTAGACTTGAAACTGTATCTCCTACACTAGAGTCATCCCCTAAAACACCACGGCTCACTTTTCCCAGGAAGCCTGTTGTGAGGACACCAGCCCAGCAGGGAATCACGGTTACAGCCCCGGATGGTGGTAGGAACTTTGAGGGTTGAGGTGACCAAGATCCAGAGTGCCAGTGGGTTTGCCCTAGGGAGCTTAGCAAGTGAGGGATGGAGCCTGGTCTAAAATCCAGAAAAATCTTCAAAGTTGCTGTTTTCTTCTTTGTTAATTGCAAAGGAATGACCTGCTCACCGTCAGAGTCACAGAAGTGTATCAACTACGAAGGAGGAATAGATGCCCTCCCTCCCCTGCCCTGGGGTTGGGTTCACTGTCACCCTTTCCCATATACAAACATCCACCTGTCTCTCTTTCTAAGCACACAGACCTCCTCATTCATTCGACAGTGCATCAAGCACTCGTCAGGTGCCGGGCCTTTGCTGGAATTAGGATGCAATCGTCCATAGAACAGATGCTGTTCCTTCTCAGGGAGGTTCCCATATGACGTGAGGAAAAGAAAACCATAATGAGTAGGGAGCCTGGGTGGCTCTGTGGGTTGGCGTCTGCCTTCAGCTCAGGGTCCTGGGGTCCAGCCCCACATCAGGCTCCCTGCTCAGTGGGGAGTCTGCTTCTCCCTCTCCCTCTGCTGCTCCCCCTGCTTGTGCACACTCTCTCTCTCTCTCTGTCAAATGGATAAAGTCTTTAAAAAAAAAAAAAGAAAGAAAGAAAAAGAAAACTGCAGTGAGTAACAGGGACTTCCCTGGAGTGGTAGATTCATGCCTGGCTCTCCTGCCAAGGTGACTCTCAGGATAAAGAGGTGTTACCCATCTCATCCAGGAGGAAGGAACTGTGTTTGCAAAAATGCATGGATCCCCCATCATAGTTCCTAGAAGAGGCCACTACGGGGAAGGAAATAGGAGGACGGGAGGCTGGGGAGGGGTTCAGGGCCAGACCAGGCAGGGCTCTGTGGGCCACCATCAAATACTGGCAGTGACGGCCTGATGCAGCTTATGTTTTTAGAGCGGTTGGCCTGGTTGCGATGTAGAGTCAGGAGCAATGTAGAGTCAGGAGCGGAGTCTAGAAGTGAGTGGGGAGATGAGAGGGAGGGTAGAGAGAGCCGTCAGGAAGCTCTTGTGGCCCTGCAGACGGGGACCGGGACGGGGACGGGGACTGGGACCGGGACCAGGACGGGGACGACTCAGCAGAACAGAGCAGCAGCCCAGGTGGGAGGAAACACTGGGTGGAACCGGATCGGGCGGCAGCACACTTTTTCTGCAAAGGGCCGGAAGGTAAATATTTTAGGCTTCGCGATGATCGCAAGTGCTTTTCTGCAAGTGCTTTTCTGCCGTTGTCTGCCAAGGCAGCCGCAGACAATACATAAATGAAAGGTGGCTGGGTTCCAAGGAAACTTTATTTACAGACACTGAGATTTGAATTTCATGTAATTCCCGTGTCTCATGAAATAGTCTTTTGATCTTCAAGCATTTAAAAAAGCAAACTGTTTCCTTTTTTTTTTTTAAAGATTTTATTTATTCATGAGAGACACAGAGGGAGAGAGGCAGAGACCCAGGCAGAGGGAGAAGTAGGGTCCCCGCGGGGAGCCCGACGCGGGACTCGATCCCAGGACCCCGGGATCACGACCTGAGCCGAAGGCAGACGCTCAACCACTGAACCACCCCAGCGCCCCAGCAAACCCTTTCTTGACTGGCGAGCTGAACAAATGCAGGCAATGGGCTGGATGTGGAGCTTGGGCTATAGTTTGCCAACCCTGAAGATATATTTTGGGGTCAGGAATGGTCGTTCTTGGTGATGGATTGTAGAGGTGAGAGAAACCCCGGTTTCTGACTTGAGCAGAGGGTGGAGGGTGGTGCCTTTCCCGAGTGGGAAGAGCTGGGGAGAAATAGGTTCGAGGGGAGATCAAGAGTTTGAAGAGGGACATGCTAAGAGGGAGAGGCCTGGGAGTCACTGGCTAAGAGATGTCTAGGGGATGGTTGGAGCTCAGATGAGAGGTGTGGGCTTGGAGAAAAAAACTCTGGGAGTTGCTGGCATATAAAGCCAGTACTTAAAGCCACGGGAGTGGATGAAATCATCTAGGAAAAAATAGTAGGGAGCCTTGAAGAGAAGGCCTGGGAGCCAACTCCAGGAGGTCCCGTGCTGGAGGAAGAGGGGTCTGTGCTGGAATACAGTTGACGCTGAGACGGAGAGAGAGGTAGGGGACCTGACCTGGGTCCATGGGGCCATCTGTTAATACAGAAATGAGGTCATACAGTTGACAGTAAACTTTATTGATGGTGACATAGGTCATGGACTTACTTTCACGTTAGTACACATTCTTTTAAAAAGCTCTACGCTCTTTCATTCCCCAGATGTGCCATAATTAATGTACCAGTCCCCTCCTGGTTCCCATTTCTGCTGCTCGCTTGGGTGTCTTTGAGACTCGAGCCAGTGTTTCCGTAAACCAGTTCCTACAAACTACAGCCCATGGGCCAAATCTTTAGCCGCTTGTTTCTGTATAGCCCACAGCTAAGAATGGTTTTTACATTTGTCATGGTTGGAAGAAAATAATGTGATTCATAAAAATTTACATGCAATTCAAATCTGAGCGCCCATAAATAAAGTTCTTTTGGAACACGGCTCTGCTCATTCATTTATACGTTGTCTCTGACTGCTTCCCCGCTACAATGGCAGCGTTGAGTAGTCGTGACAGATTATCAGATGGCCTGCAAAGCCTGAAATATTTACTACCCAGACCTTTATAAAAGAGTCTTTCCCGCTCGCTCCAACAGAACAGCCCTGGGAAGTCCGATTGGGTGTGGTTTGGCTCATGGGCCCATTCCGGAGCCAATCACTGAGTGTTCCCCGATGTCACGTCTGGTCACCCAGTGAGGCCCGAGGCTGGGGGTCAGCCCCACCAGCACCACATGGACTGGGTGTCCTGCAGGGAAGGAGCCAATGTAGAACAAGAGAGAGGCTCTCTAAAATAAAGGACTTGGAGGAAAGTTACTAAGAGTATCAAGACTGACTACTGGGCCAGAGAAGGTCTGCTCAGTCTCTGTTTTGATTCTTTGTCAAAGAAAGAAGTTGCAGAAGCTGTTAAGAAGGAGCAGACGTTCAGGCCAGGTAGGGAGGTGATAATCTGCTTTCAGTGGCTTTGTCTTCTGGCCCCTGTGATCGTCCTGGTGCTGAGTAAACTTGGAGATACCTGAGAAGTTGTCGTGGATATTTCAGGACAACTGGGGTAGGGGGTGGGGGTGGGGGTCGTAGCCCTCCACGGTTTCCCACTGTGTACAGAATCAATCCTTAACCAACCCCTGACCAACTCCCGTGGCCCATCTCCTGACAGTCACTCCCCAGAGTCTGTCTCTTCTCAGAGTATGCTGTGGGGGCCAACTCCCTGATGACTTCCCTCAAGCTGCCAGACGGTTGACATGACTTCTCCTCAGAGTCTCCGCACTCCCCCAAGCAACTGCTTGACCCTCCATGCCCATAGTACTTCATCATGTTTGTTGCATGAGTGGATAGTTGAGTGCTGGAAGATTTGAGATGAGCAAATAACCAGTTTTAGGAGGAAGAAGGCAGATTTTAGGAACAACAGATTGGTGATCATGTCCTTAACCCCTAACAAAATTCTGGAACCCGTTATTAATTGAGCACTTGAAGAAGAGTCCATTTTTCTTCAGATGAGCCTTTTTTTTTTTCCTGGTTCTTCCCCATTTGACTGGTCCTCCACCAGAAGGGGAATAAGACCTGTGATGGGTGGTTGGGTGGCAGCCTGAGTAGGGAGATTGCTAATCCCAAAGCCCTGATGGGTGTTGATCCAGGGGCAGAAACCTAGTGCTGTGGGATCTTCCTCTTCCTGTCTTCTTCCTGAGGACCTTGATGACCCAAGAAACAAAGCAGGGAGAAGAGGGCAACCTTTTTGGGTGACATTCATTTTTCTGTTTTTTTTTTTTCATCCACCACAAAATTATCGAGCACCTTCTATGTACCAGGAACTGTCACAACAGTACTTCAAACAACGATGGCGTGGTTGCACAACACCGTGACTGTACTCACACCACTGAACTGTACATTTAAAATGGTTAAAAGGGTAAACCTCACACTCCATGTATTTTGCTGCGATTTCGAAGAAAAGGTTGTGGCAGTTGAAATGATAGAGCCGACTTAATCGGATGAAATGTAATAATAGCACAAGTGAAATATCCCATAAAGTTCCACCCTTTCTCCAAGTCAATCAGAAGAGGATGGCAGAGATGAGGACCTGCTGCAATGCAAATAACTGGTTTCTAGTCATTGGCCACAAATTGATAGTCTATTATTTGGGGTTAGCTTGGTGAACAGTATGGCATGGCTGTCCAGGGTGACCTCATCAAGGGAGAAGATCTAAAACTTGCGGAGAGGAGGCAGACATGGATAAGGTTAAAGGAGGATGGACAGGGGCTATATGGGAGGCAGATTTTGGCTCGAGATAAGGCCGTCTCTCCCCAGTGACAGCTGCGCAAAAGCCAGTGGACTTCCTTGGGAGGTTGTGGGTGCCCATCACTGGAGGGGGCAAACGGGTTATGAGAGTGGCCCGAGAGAGTTTCCCTGTTCTGATAATCTGACCATTAACTCCTGCGGTTTCTCCAGAATTTGTTGGGGGAATCTCTCCTCATCCATGATCTCCCTCAATGATCCCAACTTTGGCTCCCATCACTCCCAGTGCTTGGATAACTCCCCGTCCTGTTCTCAGCTCCAGCTCTGTGTGTCCAGGAATCTGTGTGACATTTGGCCTGGATGCTCTGTCGCTCGAGCCCAGCAGAAATTGTTCTTCCTCCTAAACATGCTTCATTTCCAGGTCTCCCCACCTTATGCTGTGTGCCCACGTATGCCCGTTTGTTCAAGCCTCTGGGACATCCTTGACTCTCTCCTCCCCTCCCCCCCCCCCCATACAAACAAAACCATCCCCAAGCCAGGTCATGTCTACCCTTGGAATACCTCCTGAGCTGGGCCCAGGCATCACTAAGTGACTCAGATGAGATAGTGTCCAGTTGGTATTTTGAAACACCTATTTTAGATGTGGTTTACTTTTGCTGCTCTGAACAGTGGCAATTTTCATGGGGTGGGAAGAGCGGGGAGAGAACGAGGGAAAGGAGGGGAGGGATGGCTCCTTAAATTAGTCACTTCAGATGCTGTAAGAAAGACCCAAAATAACAGTGACACTTAAGTAGATGCTTGCTCTCACCCATGTGACAGTCCGGGTACGTCCAGGGCTGATACTGCAGCCCGTCGGGGGGCGGGGGGGGGGGTTGTGTCTTGCTGTTCTGAGGTCCCCAGAGGATTGCCTTTGGAGCATGGTCTGAGATGGTGACCACAGCTGTGTTCCAGCTAGTGGGAATGGGGAGGAGAAGAGGGAGGGCATGTTCCCTCTCTGTAAGGGTATGACCCAGACACACACATCAGTTCCTCTCCCATCCTGTTAGCCAGAAGATGGTCACAGGGACACACCTCTCGCCCACAAGGCAGGCCGGGATCTGTAGTCTTTAGCTGAGGGACCATGTGCCTAAACTAAAAATTCTACAGAAGATGAGAATAATATATATGAGGGGGAAACTCGTGGTTCCTGCCACAGTCATCCTGTGTATTTCAGCGTGACCTGTGTGATGCTTAGTTGGCTCAACCGCAAGGATGTGGTATGTGAAGATTTAACACACTAATGAAGTTCCACTAGGATCCAGCAAGGCATTTCTTTTTTTTTTTTTTAAAAGATTTTGTTTTATTTTATTTATGACAGACAGAGAGAGAGAGAGAGAGGCAGAGACACAGGCAGAGGGAGAAGCAGGCTCCATGCAGGGAGCCCGACGTGGGACTCGATCCCGGGTCTCCAGGATCACACCCTGGGCTGAAGGCGGTGCTAAACCGCTGGGCCACTGGAGCTGCCCAAGGCATTTCTTTTATACATGGGAAGACTGAGTTTAGAGAATAACTGTTAAAAAAATGCCTAGCAGTGTCAGAGTTGGGACCAGAACCCTAAACTTTGGGCTCATTTTCTGCTATTTCAAAGGGATCCAGTTGAGAGGCCCCGAGGCAGTGCCAGGAGGACAGGTCTCTCAGAACTGGAGAAAAGCCACCCTTCCCAGCCTGTCTACCTGAGGAGCTGCTCATCATTTTTCCGGACCCACCTTTAGGGTAGTTATGTCTCTGAGGTACCTCCAAGTAGCCCTCAGCGTATCTGAGTAATATACTGTATTGAAGTGCAGGAATTCCCCGGCACTAAGAAGTGCAGGCTGCATGGAGTGCAGGCTCCATGAGGACAGACACAGCTTAGTCATCTCTCTGTCCCCAATGCCAGTACTCCGTGAATCGCTAAATGTGCTACCGAATACATGAATACACAAATGCATGTATATTCAAGGAGTCTTTGAGTTGCAGGTAATAGAAGCTTAGCTCAAACTAGCTTGAGAGAAAAAAATCCAAGATTGGTTCAAGTATCTGGGCAGTCTAGATGTGTACTGCTTCAGGCATCACTTGCTCCAGGTGCTTTAACTGCTATTTTCAGAAGCTCAGCCTCTATGCTGTACTGGTGAGCACAGATTGACGCTAGTTAAGTGGTTTGACTCTTCTTGCCCTCCTGGTAGGAAGCCTTGTCCAGGCAGACCCCGCAGGGATTGGGAGGAGGCAGGGGGTTAAGAGATACAGGGTTGGTTACCGGTGTGGACAATGAATTCCTCTTGAGCATCCCTAGGTTGGGGATGTCTTGGTATAGAGTCTCGGCCTTTGTTTCTTGATTTTGGCTTAATGGGGCACATCTTGGGTCATCTCTTGGGAGCTTCCCTGTGGCCACACCCCTGCTGGGATTGAATGAACTTGCTGTACCTTCAGGTCAAGGGTGGCCTGGGCGCCTCAGTCCTGCTTCTCGGGGAAAGCCAAGGCACTGTGTGTTGTTTCCTGGCAGGGCTCCTTGGAGTTCCCACATTTGGCTGAAACTGGGATGAAGGAAGAGGAGGAGGGAGAGCTGGCTGGTGACTCACTGGGAGGGGTGGCACATGCTGGACTCCAGGGCAGGTCCCTCCAGGAAATGAGAATTCCCCTTTGTAGAGAAGGTGGGGAGGATGGTACAAATGCAGCATGAGATCTGCGTGTCTCCATGAGGCTCTGAGGCAGGGGCACCCCATCTCTCCCAGTGAGCGGTCATTGGCTCTCTGTTCCCAGACCATGTTCCCATTCCCTGAGCAGAACTGGGTCTCTGAGATGCGTTTCTCCATCCCCGTCTCAGCCCCCGGGGCCCACCTGTTGGGGTAGGAATCTCTTGGTGCTGTGGAGTTCTCAGGTCTTCTTGGTTCTAGGTTGTCGGGCTTTTCCCTAGGGTAAGCCGTGACAGTGGGAACTTTGCCGGGTTCAGAGTCTAGGAAGGACTGGCCCCATGGGCCCGGGCGGGAGTGGCAGGCGTAAGCAGCAATGGGAAGGGTGAGGGAGGTGGCCTGGGAAGAACAGATAGGCCTTGGTTTTCTCCTGGGGGTGAAAGGGAGGAAGGGACTCGTAGGATCTGGAAGCTTCTTAATCTTTAGTCCCTGGTGCTTCTTTGGAGGGGGGGCCGGGGCAGCGTGGAGGCCGCGGCCTGCTAGCTTTTCCTGTGGCCAGCGGTCGCCCTTGTAGGCTGGATGTGGCGCCCGCCAAGGGGCCTTTGTGAATGGAGCGGAGGCTGCTGACTCCGCGGGCCGCGAGGCTGTGCGGCTGCCAGGCTAGGACTGGGAGCGTCTGGGAAGGAAGTGGCTGTCCAGGGCCTCCCGCGGTGGGGCGGGCGGGTGCACCCGGTTCGGCTGAGGGACTCCCGGAGCCCTGGGCGCTGGGCCGGCCCGAGGTGGGAACCGAACCCTCTGAGCTTGCTGACGGCAGGTCGCATCACGTTAACACAGGCACCTCGCTCGCCCGGGCCTTTGTTTTGCCCCTTGCAAAATGGGACCAAGCGGACCCGGCTGTGTCCCCGCGTGGCTGGGAGAAGGGGACGTCTTTGCGTTCTCGTTGAATGGGGCCGGAGCCTAAATCCAAACGGGTCCAGTGGGACGGGGCGGGGGTGGTGGTGGTGGTAAAGGTGGATGTAGCCGGCCCATGGCAGGTGCCGCGGGGTGCAGCCAGGGGCAGGAGAGGGCCTCCCTGGCTCAGGTCTCACCTGTAGCCCCAGACACATCCCTTAGCCCTGACTCTGGCCTCTGAGGTCCACCCCAGACCAGGCCTCTTTCATTTTTTTTTTAAGATTATTTATTTATTCATGAGAGACACACAGAGAGAGGCAGAGACACAGGCAGAGGGAGAAGCAGGCTCCATGCAGGGAGCCCCACGTGGGACTCGATCCCAGGACCCCAGGATCTCACCGCGGGCCGAAGGCAGATGGTCAACTGCTGAGCCCCCCAGGCGTCCCTCACCCAGATCTCCTTTATCTCATTTCTCCTGCAGATGCTGTCAGTTGTCTTTATGGAGCACAGCACTGATCCTATCCTTTCCCCTGTTCTAGAACCTTCAGCGGCTCCCAGTTGCCTTCAAGATAAACTTCAGACTTTTCAGCCTATTTCTACACCTGACTCCATCCTCAGCCCACGTTCTCCCCACCAGCTATTATCTGGAGCCGAACTGATCCAAGCTGATCTGTGCACATTCTTGCCCTGAGCCGGCCAGCCTTGCCTCTACTTGCCACCTTGCCTCATCTTCCTTATAGTTTGTACCAGCATCCCAGCTGCCCCTGCTCCGGGCGCCCTGGTCCTGCCTCCCTAGTGACTCAGTTCCCTTCTGCCAGCATGTCTCCAAAAAGCCCTCAGTGGAGAGCCTTGTAGGGAGTGGGAGGGAGGACCTGCCAGTGGGCAGTCGCAGCCTTCCTTCTTGGAGCTGGTCCAGGGGGGAGGAGGTGAGGGCGGGCCTGGGGAAGACCCTTTGAGACCAAGGCCTCACTTCCTCTTCCTTGCAGGCAGGGGCAGCCTTCCACCACGGAGAGCCCAGCTGTCAGCTGCCGCTCAGGAAGATGCTGCGTCGGGCCAGCGCGGATGTGGGTGTGCGTTTGGCCGCGGCCCTGGCAGCGCTGTGGTTTTGCATCACAGGTGAGGGGAGCAGAGTGGAGGCTGGAGGGGGGCACCCATTCCCATCAGGGCTTCGGCTAAGCCCGTCTGCCTAGCAGGGACGAGGTGGGGGGAGTTTTGGCCAACTGCCTCCCACTGTCCCCTGTCCACTCATTTGCACTGGGATTCGACAGGCAACTTATTTTGCATTTCTTCGCCTCTGTCTCCTCTTCTGTAAGCTGGTAATGTGAGCACTTGCTGTGATAATGCTGTTTCTTGAACACACAGTGTGTGTTCTCCATCCCGAGGGCCTTTGCACAAACTGTCTCCTTCCTCTGCCTGGATCATTTGTCTCCGGACATTGGCATACCTTGATCCTTTATTTCTTTCTTTTAGGTCTTGGCTCCTATGTCACCTTCTTAGCAAAGTTTCTTGGCTACCCTGTAAAAAATAGCACACCATCTCTCCCCACCCTCGACTTTACTTCGTCATGCTTCTTCCCAGCCTTCATCTCCGCCTGACACGTTGTGTTTTTACCGCTTATTGGCCACTCTGCTCAAAGAGTAGGGTCTACCCCCGGTGCCAAGACTGGTGCCAGCCACATAGTAGCTGCTCAGTAACCATGTTGGATAAATGATGTAAATCTTCCCACGCAGCTCTTGGCACACAGTCAGCATTCAATAAGGGCATTATTTTGAATAACAACATCCTTACCATATTTTAAATCCTAACCAGCCTCTGGCAGAGGGAAAGACTGCCTTCTTCTGCCATAGGGAATGCAAAGCTGAGTGTCTGGTGCCCCCTCTTGATCACAAAGAGGAAGCAACTCTAGCCGCCGCTGCTCTTGATTCTTTTACGGAAAGCGCTTCCTTCCGGATTATTCCTCCCACAAGTTTCATCCCTAAGTGCCCCCCCCCCCATAAGGGGCACCAGTTGGAGAGCTGGCTTGGGGCATGTGGTATTGCATGGAGAGATCCAGGGCCAGCATAAGACCTTTAGAGACCTCTACACGCTGCAAAGATCATGATACCCTCTCCCTGTGAGTTATTCACAGTAAAAATACTGTGGGCACCTGGGTGGCTCAGTCCATCAAGCTTCTGCCTTTGGCTCAGGTCATGATTCCTGGGTCCTGGGATGCAGCCCCACATCGGGCTCTCTGCTCGGAGTCTGCTTCTCCCTCTCCCTCTGCCCGGACAGCCACCCCCCCCCCCCCCGCTTGTGCTCTCTCTCAAATAAATAAGTAAAATCTTGAAAAAAAAAAACCAATAAAAACACTAACCATAAGGTGTTGTTTTTCTAAATGCAAGAAACTTTTAAGGGGTGCTCTATCCAGTCAGCTTTGTGTCAAGACTGTTTGATCTTTACACTTTTTTGAGTGTGCTTGCAGTGCTGGTGGCCAAAGCACACACTTACCCAAGAATGGCAGTGCCAGGGTAGGGAGCGTGCCTCCCCCAAAGAAAGGTTCGGGGATCCCTGTCTAACCTTTCGGGGCTCTAAAAGAAGGAGGTGACAGAGGAATGGAGGTAGAGGTGACTGGGTGAGGAGGCTTGCCAGTTCACAGGTTAAAGGGCAGGGGAGGAACAGGGGAATCTGCCCCAGGGGGGTTTTCACTGGCTATGCCCCTGGCCCTGGTTCTGAGGATGAGTTGATACTAGGCTTCTGGGATTTCTGCTCCTGTGTTCCCCTCACCTCCAATTCATCAGCAGGTCCTCATCAATAAACCTTGAATCTGTCCCATCTTCCTTATAGTTCGTACCAGCATCCCAGCTGCCCCTGCTCCGGGCGCCCTGGTCCTGCCTCCCTAGTGACTCAGTTCCCTTCTGCCACCCTCTGGAGCTAAGCCAACATCACTTCTTACAAAGACCCCTGAATCCATTCTCCACAGAGGAGCCGAAGTGAGTTTTAAGCCTTGTTGGCCAGATTATGCCTGGTTCCCGCCCCCCCCCCGCCCCCCTACAACCATCACCACCTGCAGTGACTTTCCGTTGCATATGGCAAACCTAAGTTCTTTACTGTTTTTTTTTTTTTAAGATTTTATTTATTTATTCATGAGAGACACACAGAGAGAGGCAGAGACACAGGCAGAGGGAGAAGCAGGTTCCATGCAGGGAGCCCGATGTGTGGGACTCAGTCTGGGGCCCCGGGATCACACCCTGAGCCAAAGGCAGCCGCTCAACCGCTGAGCCCCCCAGGCGTCCCTCTTCACTGGTTTTACAAAGCCCTCACATCCAGACTCTTGGCCACATTGGACAGCTACCTGATATTTTCATTTAGGGAGCCGAACCTTGCCTCAGGGCCTTCCCATCTGCTGTTTCCACTGCCATGAACACTTCTCAGCCTGCATTATAATTATGACCAACTCATTTACATACCTAATAACCTCAAATTTCTTCTGAGATATAAATTTACATGAGACACTGCCTCACTACAATCCACTATAGTGTCCTATATCTTATCGTCATAAAAAACAACCACATCAATGTTATATCTTCAACTAACCTCCACCGACAAAACCAGAAACAAACCAACATTATCCCACCCAAGACCACAAATTACGCATGCAATAAACTCCACCACAAAATACGAACCAAAGTCATGAACACAACTTAACTCCCTATCCTGCAATCATACTTTTAACCCACCGATAACCTATATCTCCAACAGGCCGCTAGCCACAGATTCAACCTATATACGACCAACATCACCATACCTTCTTCCTATATAAAATACATACACCCATTCTACACATTATTACATACCCTTTGCTATACATCAATTAACCTAATCAAACCACCACAATCTCACTCCCACTGAATATACATATACAGTAGTCATCTCATCTTCCACATAATTTAAATGAACCCTTCTGTCTAAGAATACCCTCTCTTTTCTCTGTTCATTCCCCCCCCCCCCCCCCCCCCCTTCCCCCCCCCCCCCGCCCCCCCCGCCCCCCGCCCCCGCCCCCCCCCATTTCTCATCTCAAAGGGTGGAAGAGTCGGGAAGGGGAGGAGGACTAGGGAGGCGTCAGGGGCCCTGCCCCCTCACTGGCCCACCCCGTTGTCCCCCAGGTGCCGTGGAGGTTCAGGTGCCCGAGGACCCCGTGGTGGCCTTGGTGGGCACCGATGCCACCCTGCGCTGCTCCTTCTCGCCCGAACCCGGCTTCAGCCTGGCGCAGCTCAACCTCATCTGGCAGCTGACGGACACCAAGCAGCTGGTGCACAGCTTCGCCGAGGGCCGGGACCAGGGCAGCGCGTACGCCAACCGCACGGCCCTCTTTCCCGACCTGCTGGCCCAGGGCAATGCGTCCCTGCGACTGCAGCGCGTGCGTGTGGCGGATGAAGGCAGCTTCACCTGCTCTGTGAGCATCCGGGACTTGGGCAGCGCCACAGTCAGCCTGCAGGTGGCAGGTGAGCACCCTCCCCGGCTGCACCCTCCAGCTGCCCTGGGCCTCTTCCCCGCTGTGCCCCCCCCCCCCCCCGACCCCAGGACTCAAGACCTGTTCCTCCAGGTGCCCTTTCCCCCACGTGACCCCCCCCCCCCCGCCATCCCGTCCTTGCAGCTCCTCCACCTCTGCCCTCTGCCCCACTCCAGCTCCCTACTCGAAGCCCAGCATGACCCTGGAGCCCAGCAAGGACCTGCGGCCCGGGGACACGGTGACCATCACGTGCTCCAGCTACCGGGGCTATCCGGAGGCCGAGGTGCTCTGGCAGGACGGGCAGGGCGCACCCCTGACCGGCAACGTGACCACGTCGCAGATGGCCAACGAGCAGGGCCTGTTCGACGTGCGCAGTGTCCTGAGGGTGGTGCTGGGCGCTAATGGCACCTACAGCTGCCTGGTGCGCAACCCGGTGCTGCAGCAGGACGCCCATGGCTCCGTCACCATCACGCCCCACAGAAGTCCCACAGGTTCTTTATTTTTGTTTCGCTTATGTCCCGTGAGAGAGGGAGGCTTTGTTCCATCAGAGGGGCTGCGGGATTGGAACCTTGCTCCCTACCTTCAGTCTCCACAATGGTGAAGTTCCTAGTAGTGATGACAGGAAAGGTGAACAGGATGAGGAGGCGGGGGCCTTACCTTGCTGGGCGGGGAGGACAGCCGTCACGGGCCTTCTCCACCTCTGGGACTCCTGACTCCAGGGCTCCAGACGCCTCTGGAAAGGATGGAGAAGCATTCGGATCTCCACAGAGAGAGTAAGGATAGGCGAGGGAACGGATCCATCAGCAGGCGGGGGTTTGCTAGGGCTGGATACTGTCCCAGGCCTGCCCCCCCACCCCCTCCCAGGCACTGTCAGCCCGAGGTCAACCCCCTGTAATCCTTGTAAGATGGGGGTGACTCCACATCTGGAGATCGGAGACTCAGTCTGCTCTTGGGTCTGGAGAGAAAGTGGGAAGATGGACAAGGACCTGGGGGTTAACAGAGGAGGAAGTCTGGGAAGCTGCGGGTGGATAGGCTGGCACGGCCCTGCCCCCCCTCACCGGCCCACCCCGTGTCCCCCAGGCGCCGTGGAGGTCCAGGTGCCCGAGGACCCCGTGGTGGCCCTGGTGGGCACCGATGCCACCCTGTGCTGCTCCTTCTCGCCCGAACCCGGCTTCAGCCTGGCGCAGCTCAACCTCATCTGGCAGCTGACGGACACCAAGCAGCTGGTGCACAGCTTCGCCGAGGGCCGGGACCAGGGCAGCGCGTACGCCAACCGCACGGCCCTCTTCCCCGACCTGCTGGCCCAGGGCAATGCGTCCCTGCGGCTGCAGCGCGTGCGTGTGGCGGATGAAGGCAGCTTCACCTGCTTCGTGAGCATCCGGGACTTCGGCAGCGCCGCGGTCAGCCTGCAGGTGGCAGGTGAGCGCCCTCCCCGGCTGCACCCTCCAGCTGCCCTGGGCCCCTTCTCTGCTGTGCTGCCTCCAACCCCAGGACCCAGGTGCCCTTTCTCCCACGTGACACTCCCCCCCCACCCCCGTCCAATCCTTGCAGCTCCTCCACCTCTGCCCTCTGCCCCACTCCAGCTCCCTACTCGAAGCCCAGCATGACCCTGGAGCCCAGCAAGGACCTGCGGCCCGGGGACACGGTGACCATCACGTGCTCCAGCTACCGGGGCTATCCGGAGGCTGAGGTGCTCTGGCAGGACGGGCAGGGCGCACCCCTGACCAGCAACGTGACCACGTCGCAGATGGCCAATGAGCAGGGCCTGTTCGACGTGCGCAGTGTCCTGAGGGTGGTGCTGGGCGCTAATGGCACCTACAGCTGCCTGGTGCGCAACCCGGTGCTGCAGCAGGACGCTCATGGCTCCGTCACCATCACAGGTAGGTGTGGGGGGTGGGGGGCGGATGAACAGCTGGGGAGATGCAGGGAGCTGTGCCTGGTTTCTGAAATAGGAGTTGGAATTTAGGCAGGTTTGGGTGATCAGAAGCCTTTTTATTTATTTATTTTATTGATTCATTTTAAGTATTTTATTTAAATTCAGTTTGCCAACCTATAGTATAACACCCAGTGTTCATCCCATTAGGTGCCCTCCTTAGTGCCGGTCACCCAGTCACCCCCCACCCCCGGCTCAGAAGCCTTTTTGAAAAACATATTCATACATTTCAGGTGTCTCAAACCCTCCACCAAGAAGTCCTTAAGGGATTTGCTTGAAGGAGCTGATAAGGGTCGTTTGTAATAGTCACCCTCCTCCGAGTGCCTTAGCTGGTGCTTGTGCTTCTTATACAGGGACGGGGGTAGCTCCCTGGACTCTGGGGGTGCGGTGGGAGTTCTAGGGCAGACGCCACATGGTGGGGAGGTGCTTTCCTCCGGGTGATGGGAAGGCTTTGCTGCGTGCATGGGCACCATGGACACCACCGAGGCCCTGGGAGTCGGGTGTCCGCTGCAGGTGGGGGGAATCGCTGCTGCCCCCATGTGGTCAATCACCAGATCGATGTTGCTCATTTGGCGGTTCCCTGGATTGGGGTCCCAGCCCAAACACCCTCCCTTCCTGTAGTGCCCACCTCAGTGGGTGCTGCTTGTGCCTGGGGTGGGGGGGGTGGTGAAGAGGGCTCAGGCCCACCCTCAGGCCATGGGAGGCCATCTCCATCTGTGTCGGGACATCAGGTTGGCTCCAGGGACCTCCTCACATTTGCTGGTGTCAGGACAGTGGGTTCTATCTGCATGGTTGGCCTCTTTCCCCTTCCCATGACTTCCACGTGCCTGGTGTGTTTCCAGAGAGAATAAGAAATACCAGGTAGAGTGAGATTGGCAGAAAAAGTGAAGCTTTCTAAGAAGGGAGGCAGGGGCCAAAGTGGGCTAGGGCGGCTGGGAGAAATCCCCAGGGACAGGTGGGAGTTGAGAAAGCCTTGAAGGATCGGTGGACTTTGTGATAATTTGCACACTGGGCTGAGCTGGATATTTGCCATGCTGTGCAGAAAAGGTTTATGGGTGTAAAAGGAGTTGTAGGGAGACCGCTTACCCCATCTAAGAGGGGGAAAAGAACCCTTTTATTTTAAACTTCAGTAGCTCACATATAAAGCACTTTTGTTTCAGAGATGAAGCCAAAGCCCAGAGAGAAGAGAGAACTTTCCCCAAGTTTGCAGACGTGCACAGTGGCTTTATTTTTTTTTGGGGGGGGAGGGGGCAGGCACCTCTTTGAAAATTAGGTAAATGATAAATGCAATAGTTGGCACTTATGTTTAGAAGGTGCATGAGCCCCCCCTCACCTGTGGGGTGTGTGGCCCTTGGCTCTGGGACCTGGCCGTGAGCATATGAGCCAGGACCAGAATCCAACCTTGAGCCTCTCAGCCTCATTTTCTCTCCTCCCCACCACCCAGCCTCCTGTTTTTGGAAGAGCAGGTCTGGCCTACTTTGGAGCCCTTGGCCTGTATTCCGCTTCAGGCAGCTTTGTGCCTGGTAAAACATTCTGGGATTCAGAATGTCAGTCCTGCAGCCTGGTGCCTCCCACACCCGCCGGAGGTTCGTGAAGTTACGTGTGCTGTGCTCTACGAAGCAGGCACTGGATGTGGAGCCGCAAGACCCAGGTCTGAGCCCTGCTCTTCACTCCAGGGCAGGTCTGGCCTGTGGCAGGCACTGTCAGCAGCCAGGGGGTGAACGCAGAAAGAGATCTTCCCTACTCCGGCCTATATTTCTGGGGCTCTGCTCCCTCCTTGGCTGCAGGAGCCCCAGCCGGGGTCCCAGGGGTTTCTTCCATGGGCCTCCCGGGCCAGCCTTCCTGGGCCCTCCTGTCAGCCGCCGTCCTCTCCTGCTCCTCTGGGTGATGGGCCCCTTTGGTTGCAGGGCCCTGAGCGGCAGCTCTGAAGGAAACATCTGCTGCGAGTGTCTGCACCCCTGCCCGGGCCTCTGCTGCCGACGGCTGTCCTGGCGCTGCTGTCTGCGCTGCAGGTGCCTTCTGCAGAACCCGGGGGCCCGGCCGCGGCTGCTCTCTCCAGAGAGCAGAGCCAAGCAGTCCTGTCTTTGGCCAGCTCTGACGTCCCCGAGGCTTCTGCCCGGGACCCAGCATGGGCTCAGGGCCTGGGCTCCTGGCCGGCGTGCTCAATAGCCGCTGGCCCTGCCCCAGGTGTGGGTGCCTGCAGCCTTCCCTGCAGGGTGAGGTGGCGAGCAGAAGGGCCCTCACCGTCTCACAGCAGCATTCCCCTGGCAAGGCTCCTCCTCCGGGGTAAACCCAGGACCTCACCACGGCACCCTCGGTTCCCACCCCCACTGCATGTGGGGCTCCCCAAACATTTTCTGTTCAGGGATGGATAGTAAATATTTCAGGCTTTGTGGGCCACAGACGATCTCTGTTGCTGCTGCTGATTTTCCTTCCCCTTCTGCTCTTCCTGTTCCTTTTTTGGTAACCCTTCACAAATATAAAAACTATTATTAGCCTACAGGCTGTACAAAAACAGACCACAGGCCAGATCTGGCTCGGAGACCAGCCGGCTCCCTGATCTATCGGATGGGGGATATCTCCAGGCAGGGCTGGAATAGTCAGAGAGGGCCTCCAGAGGAGGTGAATCTTAAACTGAGTGAGCGTTTGGGAGCATTTTTTTTTTTTTAATTTTTTAGTAGGGGAACCAGTCAACAATGGCGTGGGGGCTGGAGGGAGCCAGTTGTCTCTGCCGAGGATGGTTAGTTCACCAGCTTGGGTGGAGCAGAGGTTCCTATAGTAGAAATGGAAAGAAAGGTTGGGGGGATGGTGAGCAGCAGCCACGTAATAGAGGTCTTTGAGAGGATTGAAGCGTTATTCAAGTCGGTGCGGAGCCATAGAAGGTTCTAGAGCATCATGGATGGCAGGCTCTTCAGCCTGCCAGGTTGAAGCATGTCTGCAGCAGCCATGGCTGTCAGGGTCTGGATGTGTCTCGGTGTGTGGGGAAGGGGCCTGGGAACTTCAGTGAGCTCCCCTCATAGTGTTGGAGCTCCCCATTCACACCTTGTGACCCCGGGTGTGCTGTCCTCAGGGACCAGGGGGCCAGGCGTGACCGTCTCTTCCCACTCTCCCCACTCCCCTCCCAGGGCAGCCCATGACATTCCCCCCTGAGGCCCTGTGGGTGACCGTGGGGCTCTCTGTATGTCTTGTCGCACTGCTGGTGGCCCTGGCCTTCGTGTGCTGGAGAAAGATCAAGCAGAGCTGTGAGGAGGAGAATGCAGGTGAGTGAGAGGGTGTGTGCATACATGCACGCACACACGTGTCTTTGGGTACGTTGGTGTGTCTGTGACATCAACATGCAGGTCACTTCCTGGTGACAGAATGAGCATGAGTGTGCACTTGGGCCCTGACTGTGTGTGTGGCCTGAGGCTGAACATGTCTTCTACCTGTAGACAGGCGTGAGCCGGCCGGCCGGGGTGTGGCTTTGGGCGTCACTGTGTGAGGGTGTGTCTGCCTCCCCGTGGGCAGGGTCTGAAGCAGCTGCCCTTAGCTGGGCTGCGGTCAGTATGAGTTGACTTTGGCAGGTGGTGGGTGGACGTTGGTCAATAGGTGCTTTGAGCTTGACAGCTAAGTGTGTCAACTCTGGTGAGTGCGGGGTGGTGAGCACGCGTCGGGGAGTGGGGGGTTGATACTGGTGGGTGGTAGGGGGGCACGCAGAGGCTTCCCCAGGTGAACATGAAAGTGGATGGTCAGAGGTGGGAGCTGGCTGGGTGTGGAGAAGGAGGGTGCATATGTGGAGAAGGGACAGACGGGTGGGTGCAGCGGTGGCGGGGCAAGCTGTAGAAGGACAAGTGCATGGGGAGGCGGGCAGGGCTCCTGCTGGAGGCTGGTGGTTGATGGGTGGATGGGTGAGACGTGGGGTCGGTGGGTGGCCAGGAGGAGGGGTGAGGAGGCGGGGCTTGTCTGGGTGAGGGGTGGGCTCTGCTCTGTGCTGGTCTCAGACTCCCACCCTGTGCCCAACAGCTGGACCGCAGGTCAGGCCTACGCAACCGGCTCACCTACGTCCCGCACTCTGGGTGGAGAACTGCAGTAACAGCAGTGGCCTGAGAGTCTTTCTTTACCGAGTTCTTTTCTTCCAGGTGCTGAGGACCAGGATGGGGATGGAGAGGGATCCAAGACCGGTGAGTCTGAGCTTAGAGCTGGTCTTGGCTGCAGGAAGGACACAGGGGCGGGGACAGGACTCTAGGGTCTGGAGCCACAGTGGCTTGAGGTTTGAATGAAGTGTGTTCTGTGGATGGTGGTCCTCTACGCAGGTGAGTCTGGTCTTTGCTCAGTGTTAGGCCTGGATGTGAATCTCCCAGGTGCTGCTTCATCTTTCCCGCCTCCCTGACCTTTCTACCAGGGCCGGTTCCACTCTGAGTGACCCTGCACTGTGGGGTCTGGTGGCTTCCTAGGGGAAGAGTGAGGGAGCAGGAGACGGGGCGGCCTGGGCTTCAGCTCCAGCTGCCACGTGTGGGCTCCGTGGCCTTAAGCAAGTCACTTTGCTTTCTGGGCCTCAGTTTCTTCATCTTTGGGCCTTGGTTTCCTCCTGATGACTGCCTCCCTTCATAGGTTGTATGGGTTTAATGAGATGAGATAACGTGTATAGAGGGCGCGCTACCATCCCCGGTGCCTGGTCAGTGCTCGATATCTCGGAGTCTTGTTAGTAGGCAGACAGTCCCGTTCTGGTTAGAGGCTGTGTGACTTTGGTCAAAGTGCTTTGCAGCTCTGGGGTTCAGTGTCCCTCTGTAAAATGTTATCCTGACGCTGCCTCGATGGCACCGGAGGGCTGTGCTGAAGCTCTTTCGAGTGACTGGATACACGGGTGGTTTGTGAAGGGCATGGTGCTTCAGAGACACAAACCCAGAGCCCAGCAACTTGGGGCGGGTGCCGAGCCACCGGTGTTTTGTCACCACTGGAGGCCTCCCTGCCCTCCCTTCTGGGGCTCCTGGGCTGGGAGAGGCAGGTTCCCGCTGAGTCATTTGGGATAGTGCCAGGTGACACCAGTCCCCTCCCCGCCCCCATGAAGGCTGCGGGAGACTGACACCTGGGGATGCTGAAAATTCTGCCAATTAACTCCCTGCCTTTGGTGTGGAGGCAGCCCTGGGATCAGGCCTCATTTTTCTTGCTCAGAGGCAGATGTAGTTGCCAGGGGGAGGAGGTGGGGCGAAGAGGACGGCCTAGAGATTTATTCAGTCTCGGTTCCGCATGACCCCAGGCCCACCCAGGATGGCTGCAGCCTCCTGTAGCTTCTTACTGCGCCCCTGTTTTTTTAAGTAGACGCGGGGTGCTTCCAATTCCCTAGCTCCCTGGAGGGCAGGGTAGCCGTTCCCACTGTATAGATGTGGACAACCGAGGCCCAAAGAATGGGGAGTGACGGGCCGCAGAGCGGAGCTAGGCCTTGGGACGGCGGCCCAGGGCCCCTTCCCTGGGGCTGGGAGGTTCCCCTCATCCTCCCAGCCTCTTGCAGTCCCTGCAGAGCTCACCTCTTCCTCGGCTCCCGTCCCTCTGCCCGACTCCTGACCCCATCACTTTCCGAGGTTCCCCCTCACTGTGTGCTCCTTCCTTTTTTGCAGCCCTGCGGCCTCTGAAACACTCTGAAAGCAAAGAAGGTAAAGACACGGGGTGCTGGAGTTTGTGTGTCTGTGTGTTTGTGCACCTGAGTGCGGGGCACTGGGGAAGGTCAGCAGCAGTGGGTGGTGATTATCACCTGGTGCCTGGTGACCTGAAACTCTGTCCCCGGGAGAGCAGCCTTGACTGTCCCCCGGTGAAATGGCCGAGGGCAGAGTAACCAAGGCTCCGGATGTGACAGGGGCATCACAGAGACAGGCATGTATTCCCGTCTCCTGTAACCGTCTAGGCCCGGGTGGTCTTCGGGCCACTGGTGTCCTCGACCTGGGCTCCATTTATTGGTTTCTGGCCTCTTCCACTCAGAACTTCCATCCCTTGGCCCAAGAGGGCTGCTCCAGCTCCCAGGCCTTCTCCAGACACGGGGGGGGGGAGGGGGAGAGGAAAGGGAGGAACGTTTTTTTTCTAGGGCTTGTCTAGAAATAGCTCCTGTTACTCCAGTTTCTGTGCTGGGGCAGGACCTTGTCACATGACGCCTCACTCAAGCTGGGCTAAGGAATGTGGCTTCGGGCGGGGCAGCCTAATTCCTGGTCCACGGTGGGTGGTTAGCAGGTGGGTGGTTAGCAGGTCGGTGGTTAGCAGGTGGGTGGTTAGCAGGTGAGTGGTTAGCAGGTGGGTGGTTAGCAGGTGGGTGGTTAGCAGGTGAGTGGTTAGCAGGTGGGTGGTTAGCAGGTGGGTGGTTAGCAGGTGAGTGGTTAGCAGGTGGGTGGTTAGCAGGTGGGTGGTTAGCAGGTGGGTGGTTAACAGCCGGTAACAGTCGTTATTACTCATCTTCTGTAACATCAGCAGGTACATTAGGGGGTGGTTGGTTGGGGGTGAGTTTGAGATTCTTTCTTACTGAAACCAACCAACAGCGACATCTCTGTATGTGTGTTTGGGTGGAAATATATGTGATCCTGTGTGTGTGTGTGTGTGTGTATTTTGAATGAGACATTCCTGGATGCAGACTTGCCACTCGATGTGAATGGCTTCCACCTAGAACATCAAAGTTGGTTGCTACAGGTCATGGAAACTTTCTCAGGTTGCCTGGGCATTCCTGTCAGGGTATAGACTTTCACTGACTTCCCGGATGCTCGTACCCACACCTAGGGGAGGAGGGAAGGACGTAAGCCCTGTCTTCAGGAGACTTCCAGAAGGGTGGGGGTGGGGAGCAACGAGGCTTTCAGCGACCTCTACAAAATACGTGATTCAAGAGGGTCAGAGACTCAGACTTTGACAGAAGGCAGTCAGAGGGCTTCAGGAAGGCAGCACTGTGCAGAAGAAAGAGGCCCCAGGGTTTGGAGGGGGGACCTTGGGGCTAGTCTCTGCCTCTGGCCTTCCAGGAAGTTCCCTCATCTGTGGAACGCACACCTCCCTTGCAAGGTGGTTGTGAGGATTAGGCAGGGTGACAAATGCAGAAGCAAGAAGTCCTTTTGAATGCTGTAGAATGTTCCCTGGCAGTCAGGGACCTATGTTGGGGTAGGGAGGGATGGAGATAAGTTATCTGCCTCCTTGTTCTGAACCAAATGAGGCATAGAAGCATTGAGCAGATGGAGATGGAAATGTCAGCTTGGTACCAGAAGAGAGCTGCAGCTGAATGGCCTGGGTGCGGGGTGCAGTGGGCTCCCCGTTCCTGCTCCCACCAGGCAGCCTGGCCGCCCAGTCTCTGGTCACGCTGGGTGCACACACAGGCGATGCCCAGGAGGGAGGACTGCTTCCCCCGGGACAGACAGACAGAGCTCAAAGAATGGGAGAGGAAGCGGTGGGGTCACACAGGCCCTGGTTTCTGAACTCTCCCCAGGTCAGGGGGTCTGAGTCCACTGGGTGCCCCCCATGTGGAGACAAGGGTCAGAGGGACTCAGCGTGGGAAGGGGAGCTGGAAGGGATTTCTTGCTAGTGGAGGGGAGGGAGCCAGGCCAGGGAAGATGGAGGGGGATATCAAGGAGGGGGGCATGGAGGGGACAAGTGTGCCAGGGAGAAGAGGGCAGGTGATTGGGCAGCGTGCGGGGCAGGTGGAGCCATGGGGCTGAGAGAGGGCTTGCGGGAGTTAGGCAGCCCCCCTGGGGCGCCTCTTGGTCGGTCTGATGGCCAGCCCTGTGCCTGCGCGGGCCTCCAGGGCGGTGCTCCGCAGAGGGGCTGCTGGTCAGAGGGCAGCAGCCGCTCCCACAACACTCCCCACCCAGCAGTGCCTGGCCGCGGGCCTGGGCTCTGGCGCACGCCCAAGAGCAGGACTCCTGCATTTAGTGCCTTTCCCCCCATTTTTTTTCCATCTCAACATGCAGATGATGGACAAGAAATAGCCTGACCATGAGGATCAGGGAGCTGCTGCCCCTGCCTGGGGGCTCCCTCCCCTGGCTGCACTGGGGCCTCAGTGTGAGCCCTGCCCCCGACAGATGGCTCCCACCTCAGCGGGTCCACTCATTCTCCAAAGGACAGAGAGACCACCCGCAGCCTTATTTCTCCAATGGACGTGATTCCCAAGTCAGCCTGCTGCCTTATTTCTCCAGTGACACGATACGTAAACCATCCTGCTGTCTTCTTTCTTATGGACGTAATACAGACACCACCCCGCCGCCTTATTTCTCCAGGGGATATGCTGTGTGGACCTTCTGGCTGCGGCAACATTCAGAACGATCCTCTGCCTTATTTCTCCAAAGACAGGAGACACAGTTGCCCTGGCCTTCTTTCTCCAGTGGCCCTGATACACTAGTCATCATTTCTCAGCCTTTCCTCCTCACCGCTCCCCCCCACCCCGAAGCCCATCTCCTTAGAAAGGGCCACAGCAGCTTCAGCATCTCCTTGAGTCCACGGGCATCTCCCTCCTGCCTCCTCCTCCTCCTCTGGCCCCCACGTTGGCCTCCTCCCTCCCTCACTAAGTGAAGACAGGGCCCTTCCCCCCAGGCCCGCGGGGGCACACAGGTGCTTGTGCTGGAACATGCGCGGGGACACGTCCTGACCTCCCTTCGCCCAGTCTCTCCCGTGGTGCCCTGAGCTGTGCCCTGTGAGCTCCCTCCCCGTGGGAAGCATGTGCTGGTCACACTGGGTCCCCGGGTGTCTGCGTGGGCCCCCTGGGGGGTCCCTTTTATCCCTCTGCTTTTCCCTCTTTTCCTTTTGTTCATCCGGTCTAGTAATGTTCATTGAGCATCCATGGGGTGTCAGCACTGTGTTAGGTACCGGGGACCCAGGTGAGAAGACAAGCCATCCTTGAAGGAGCTCATCCTTCAACTGGCTTCTGTGAGGAGATAGACAACTGCGGCTCATGAGGGCCTTCTGCCCTGCCCCCTCCTGTACCCCTCTTCTGTGCTCACAGCTTCCTGGATACCTCACTCCCACCCCATCCCTAACCCCTACCAGGGCAGGGGGTGGGGGCAGAAACCTGGAGAGACAGGCGGTTTCCAAAGTCTTTCCAGGTGTGAGCAGGTGGGCAGGTGGCCAAGGCACCCGGGCCCCGGGGAACGGAAGCACAGGTGAAGCCTGGGGACGGGGCAGGGCCAGGAGGGCCGCAGGGACACAGCCTCTCGCCCCTCCCATGGTGCTATTCTGGGGCTGGGAGGACACCTCCTGGCTTGTCTCTCGCTGGCCCCCAGCCCCCGGAAAACTTCTGAAGTCCTCCCGCTGACATTTCTTCCCCGGGAATGGCAGAGGTGGCATGTCTAATTTAAATGTGGGACTCTGAGGAATTTTGTTAACTGGGGGTGTAATTTGGGAAAAATAAACGGCTTTGTAGAAAGGTTTTTCTCCGAGAAGTGTATGGAAGTGGATTGGGCAGCAGGACTCGGCAGGAGGGATCCCCTCCTGGACAGTTGGGGCCAGAGAGGGCTGCCTGCATCTCCACCCTCTCACCATCCTTCAGTCACTGGGTCTCTGTGGCCATGCAGCCCCTCCCTGGCCTCAGTTTCCCTCTTGGTAAAGTGAAGTTGGCTGTCTAGAAAGCCAAGCCTCTGGTCAGCGTATGGGACTCCTCCCATACCTGGAAATGCCCCCTAAATTCTTTATCCAGGTAGACTCAGACCCTCAGGGCCACCTCTAGTGCCCCCATTTCACAGATGGGGAAGCTGAGCCCCGGAAGGAAGCCGAGGCCAGGGAGGGAGCTCTGCATGCTGCTGTTGGCTGCCCCCTGGGATCAGATCCAGGTCCAGGACCGCGCTCTGCCCTGTGACCCTGAGGGCACCCAGCTTCTCTGGACCTTACTTTTCTTTTATGAGAAATAGTCCTGAGGTTTTCACCATCCTTGCACCTCCAAGGGCTGAGAAGAAGGTGGTGAATGTGGCAGACAGACCGGGTTCCGGAGGACTGGGTTCAGGGATGTGGGAGCCTGCAGGGATACTGTGCCCACCTGGCGCTGGGTGACAGTCTCGGCACCTGGCCGGCCAGTCGCTCCCAGAGCTCCGTCGGCCCTGCCTTAGGCAACTTTGTAGATGGGGCGCAGTGACCTCAGTTTGCCCACCTGTAAAAGAGGCTTGATAACCAGGGCTTTTCCTTTCTGCAAGGGCCAGGATAAGCCTCAGACACTGGATCAGTTGCTTACAGGAGGGACCCAGCAGGTGTGGGACTTTCCTGGAGGCAGAGGGGTGAGAAAAGTGGCCACTAAGTCCCCTGTGATAAGAGCCCCCCAGAGCAGTATTTTTAGCCGCCTTTTCCTGGGCAAAGCTCCAACTTCTGCATTTTAATGGAGAAATAATTCTCACAGTGCGACAAGCTGTAGCCTGCAGGTGTCACATCCATATTAAAGAGGGGACGGAGCAAGGGTTCATTTGCCTGGCTCAAGGTGTGACCGGAATTCACCTCCAGGAGCGCTTGTGACCAGGGCTATGAAGACCAATTAGTAGATCTGATCACTCAGAGGAAGGAGCCTGGGTAGGGGGTGAAAACAGCGTGGCCATCCTGATTGTCCTCTTTCGGAGCTCTGTGCCTCTGCTCACGGACAGAAACTGTGCCTTCCCCTCCCCAAATCCCTTCCTGGGGAGGCACCTGACCTTGCTCATCCGGGGAGGGGAGGCGGTTGCTGAGCCAATGAGCAGAGACCCTGGTAACTTCTGAGCCCGGCAGCGTCCAAAGGTCCTTCTGCAAAACCCCAGTCTTCAACTGAAACGAGGAGCCAAGATTTGCCCCAAGCAGCAAAATCCCAGGCCTCCCGGAGAAGCAGGAGCCGAGGACGGCGTGAAGTGATGCGTGGGAACACTGCAAATGCAAACGATGTCGTGTTAAACCAACAAGCAAACAAAAACAGAACACCACAGGCCCAAAATGGCATCGCTTAGGCCAAGCCCCTTCCATACACAATGGAATTGCACTTTGGACCTCCCCCCCCGCCCCCCCACGGAAATACAGTCTATTTAGTAGGGATTTTCTTAGTAGGGTCACCAATGAGGCTGCCACGTAGGCCCTCTCCTTCCCCCCAAGGGAGAATCTGCACGCTAAGGGGAGTTGCTTTTCCCTGCCCAGGGAGAGCAGCCTTGCCTGGAACAATCCTTTTGCTCACAAATTTTCTTGCCCCACCCTCCTAGAAGAACCTTCCATTTTGTACAACTCCTGGGAGGTTCCCTCTACTGGCCAGATGGCCCGAATCATTTAACAAAGCCAGTGAGATCTTCAGGTGCACTCGGTTGAATTCTGTTACTTAACAACAGAAATGTTCAGAGGGATTGTCGTCACCGCCAGCCCCCTCCACTCGGAGGGCCGCACCATTAGGGGTTGCTATCATTCTAGATTTTTCTCTGGGCTAACATTTCTATAAAACTGACACCCTATGTATTGTTCTGCAGCTTTTTTTTTCTTTTTTTCAGTTTCTATTACCGTGTTCCCCACTCAGTTCTTTTTCTTTGCTTTTTATACTGAGGTGTAACATACATCTAGTGTTTAAAAGATGCTGGTCCTTAGTACAGGGCTGCGTGACTGTGTACACACTTCCCCAAGTGAGATACCCAGCTCTAGATATAAAACACTCCCAGAATCCAGAAGGCTCCCTTGTGCCCCTTCCATCCAATGGCCTCACCCAGGGATACTGTTCTGGCTGCTTTTTCCGTCGATTGGTTTTGATTTTTCCTGCATTTCGATTTTTTTAAAAATTTTATTTATTTATTCATGAGAGACACAGAGAGAGGCAGAGACGCAGGCAGAGGGAGAAGCAGGCTCCATCCCAGGGTCTCCAGGATCATGCCCTGGGCTGAAGGCGGCGCTAAACCGCGGGTTTTGATTGTTCTTGAATTTCATATAAATAGAACCCCGAATCCGTACTATTGTGTGCCTCGCTTCTTTTTGTCTTCTTTTGAAGACACCCCTCCTTCCTTTTGAATGGCTATAGAGTATCTCACGGTACTGCTTTCTAGAATATATTTTCTAGTTCCTATCGTTTGGATACAAATAATGCAGGTTTGTGCTTGCGTTTTGACAGGAGAGAGCCCCAGAAGCGGGATCTCAGGGTCACAGGCCTGTTACTTTCAATGTTGGTAGAGTTGCCAGTCGTTTGGACAGCCTGCTTAGCCGTGTCCGTGGCAGCAAGAACGAGCGAGCAAAGAACACTTAGGGCCGCTCGCAGGATGGCTTCTGGACAGGGCAGGAAGGGTGCTGGGAATTCCCATACCCAGTTGGGCCTCAAGGGCCGTGAGGGGTGCACCCCACTCAGGAGTGGGTGGGGCCTGTGGTCAGCTCCTCCTCCCCTCCCCGCTCTGGTCCCTGCCCCTGTTCCTAGTGGTGACTATTTCCACACCGGGTGGTGCTTGTTAGGATGCAGGACACCAGGGTCTTATGGGGCAGATACATCCCAGCCCTCAGAGATAGAGAGTCTCTGACCTTCGTTCCTGGCCTTTCCCTGGTGTCTGAGCAGCAAAGCCTCCTCTCCTCAACCTCCCTCAGTGGATATTATTTCTCCACCCCCATCACCCTCCTCTGGACATGTTTCGTCACTGTCTTTCAGATGGAGGCTCTGGCCTCAAAAAGATCTTATCTCATAATCGATTATTCTCTTACCTCCTTGATCCTGAGCGCTATACTTCTCGTGACACAACTCCGGATCCCATTAGTCCAATAGTTCTTAACCCTGCCTGCGCATTAGAATCACTCGGGAGATTTTTAATGATACTTGTGCTTGGGCTCCATCCCTAGAAGTTCTGATGCAATTGGTTGAGATCATGGCTAAATATTTGATGTGTGTGACCCAGAGGCCCTAGCGTGGCTTACAAGTTAATGCAAAATAGGGCTCACAGGGAAATCCTGAGCAGAGACCTTTGAGACTAGGCACATGAGACAAGCCAGCTGTTCTCTGCAATCACTGAATCAGACCGAGGGGTGTTTGTTTTCTCACTAAAGGAAGCACAGAAAAAACAGGTGCAAAGAAAGTTGAGGGAATCTGTGATCCTATGTGCATGAAGAAGGGGGGTTCTGTGTTGTGGGGCCCAGGGGTGAGCAGGAACCCTGGGTTCTTGCCCTCAGTCAGACCAGGCACCCAGGCTCTGGGGGAGTGAGGAAGGACGACGGGATGCCATGCATGATGGCTCAGACCCTTCAGCTCAGGGTAAGAAATGGGGCCCCTCCCCCTCCCACTGCCTCCCTTTCTCCGTCTCTCTCCATCGCCCCCACCCCCAGGCCTCCAGATGTGTCTGGCAGCCCGCCGCCGCCGGGTGGCTGGTTCCGGCTCCCTCCCTCTCTCCCTCCAGCACCGCATTCTCCAGGAGGGAAAGACCATCTGTCCTGCTCCCTGCAGCCCTCAGGGTGTGCCAGGCTCAAAGAGGCAGCCCTGCACTCCTGCGTCTTTCCCATCTTTCCCTTCGAGTCTCAGACTTGCTTCCTCCCCAGGGGGTCCTGAGCCTCTACTGAACTGCAGACCAGCCAGTGCCTGGAGCCATGTCCCATCCTTCCTCTACCACTGCCCCCCACCAACTTCTTGTGGGGTCTCAGGCTTCTAGTCCTTCCTGAGTTGGCCTACCTGGTCCCACAATTCTCTGGGTCATGAGGCTCTTGGGGGGGGGCCTGGTCTGCACCTTATTCTGCTCCCTTCCTGCTCTCATGTTTCAATAACCTCTCCAAAGTATTTCCTGCACAATGCGACCACCACTCTTTTTTTCTTTTTTAGTTTTTTTTATTGGAGTTCAATTTGCCAACATATAGCTTAACACCCAGTGCTCATCCCGCCAAGTGTCCCCCTCAGTGCCCGTCACCCAGTCACCCCAACCCCCCCCCACCTCCCCTTCCACTACCCCTTGTTCATTTCCCAGAGTTAGGAGCCTCTCATGTTGTGCGACCACCACTCTTGGGCGGTTGGAGGAAGGGCCAACGTGCATGTCTGCCAGCCGCTGACCTGACACTTTGCCTTATTTGCTAAGATAATTTAGTGCAATTTCCTGCTAATGAATGAACGCACTATTTTTCTCTTCCTTTAGCTTTCATAATGGCTTTGAAGTCCATGTGCTCACTGATTGCGCCTTCAGAGAACCTTCCGGGAACCCGGAGGGGGCCAGGCTGCAGATGGAGCTCAGCCTCCTTGGGGGACCATGCTAAGGGCCTGGGTGACATGGCTGGGGTGCTGATTTCCTTGGTGGCTCTGTCTCTACCGCCCTTCCGGGTGTCCGCCTGCCGCTGCGGCTGGGAGGATCTGGGTCAGCGCAACAAGAGAACGCTGGCAGCCAGGGACCCCAGACCTAGGGCGTGTGTAGAAGGGGCTCTGCTGAGAGAGGGGTGCATTCGGTGTGTCTGGAGGGCGGGTGATGAGGGAGAAGGGGACAGATGATGGGC